CCAGCAAGGGCTGCCCCCTGCCCACATCCTCAGCAGGGCAGGGTGCCCCTCTCACCCCAACCCTCCACTCTCCCAGCAGGGGCTGGCTCCTGCCCACAGCCCCAGCTCCACATCTCCCTTGGAGGCTGCTGGTGTTGGCACCAAGAGCAGTCAGGGCGTTTGGGGAGGAAGAGTTGTGTGTTTATAAAACATGGCAATTAAAACCCTTCCCTCTTCCTGATTATGGAACGGGCTCTTCTGGCTGCTTTTCACATAATTTTCTACTTTCTAAGACTAACACTTGATGTTTTGCTGCGTGTCCAAGTCCATGCAAGCACCAAACAGGGCTGATCCAGCCCTTCCACGGCACTGCCAGGTGGTGACAGAGACCCAGGGATGGGCAATCCTCAGGGACCTGGGCAGCCTGGAGAGCTGCCCAGGCCATGGAGTTCAGCAGGGCCAAGTGCAAGTGCGGCAGGGGCTGGGAGAGCTGGGGGTGCTCACCTGGAGAGGAGATACCCGAGAGCCCCTGCCAGGGCCTAAAGGAGCTCCAGGGGAGCTGGAGAGGGACTGGGAACAAGGGAAAGGCTTCCCACGGACAAGAGGGCCTGGACAATGATGCAGCCTCCTGCAGAGGCAGGGCTGGTGCCCTGCTGCTCCCAAACCTCGGGGAGTTCACTCCATGCTAACTCAGGTCTGCCCATGTGGCCAGGGGTGCCAGCAGTGCTGTGAACTGGGAACCTTCCCCAGGGCTCTCTGCTCCCCCAGGCCACTCCTGAAGGGACACCAGAACCACATGGACCTCGGAAGAACACTGCACGCCCTGGGGCTGATTTGGGGAGATCTGGGGCTCCTCTCCTCCCCTGCCAGAGCACTCTGGTGGTTCAGAGCTTTGGCTGGGCCTTTCTGTGCTGGCTGCTCCCGTTATCTCCGAGGCAGCGAGCAGGGACACGAGATGGTCTCTGTGTTTATGCTGCCCTTGGACACGACTCCAGAAGGAAAAATGAAGCCAGGCTAAACGATATCTCCCAAAATATGACATGGTTATCTTGTTCCGAGCCTGTGCTTGTTGTTGCAGGGGAGAACGTGGCAACGCCGTAGCAAAGTTTGGATTATAGGAAGGGAAGGTCGTGTTATTGTAAAAGTGAGTTTATTCACATTAACCCCCTCCTGCCCACGGGACTCCTGATCCTTGGCTCACGTCTGCCCAAGGGTTAAACCAGGGAGAGACCTCAAGGGATGAAGGATTGGGGGAGTCAAGGATTGACGGGATCCTGCCCTGATGTCCTGCCACCCCAAGGACAACCCCCGGGTATTTGCAGCACAAATGCCAGGAATGAAGATTGACTGAGAGCAGCAGCAAGAGCAACAAAACAAGGCTTTCAAGAGCTGCCAGGTGCCGATAATCAACTGCACCATCAACAGCAATCAAACCAAAGCCGAGAGGAATCTGGTGCTTTCATCAAGACCAAAAGGAGCCTGAATATGGGGCACAAATGATTTAATCAGCAGACAACCCTGAAGTGACAACAGAACGGTCCCAACATTTCAGCAGCCACTCTGGGCTCTTCATTCCCCTCCCTGTTATCTCCCTTCCTCTCCCTATTATCTCCACGGGCAGGAATACTCAAATGAAGGAACAAAGACCAGCACCAGCCACTTTGCCTGTGACTGATGAAAGATTAAGCCTGAAGATCATAGCACAGAATCGTCCTTTGTGTGGGAAGGGACCTTTAAAGCTCATCCACACCTTCCACTGCCCCAGGCTGCTCCAAGCAGGCCTGGAATACTGCGATCAGGCTATTCCAACACACCTTCAGCGAACAAAAGCCTCAAAATGAGTGCGAAATTGACTTTGTTTAAGTAAATCTCTCTCTCCAGAACGTCCAGCCCTGACTTTTGGTCCAGCAGCTTCCCCAAGAGACACCTGCTGATCGTGCCTGGTCCTCAGCAGGGCAGTGACTCCTGAGGAGCAGCACCATCACCTCCACTCCCACCCCGCCCCTCTGAGTCACGGGGAACCTTCTGTCTCCATCCCGCTGGTCGGTGGCTCCAGGCTGCTCTTTATCTCCCACCATCGACTCACAGGCTGCATCTGCCCCGCCGGGCAGAACAAAGAGTGCCTTGTCCCTCCCAAGGGGTGTCCTTGATGGGCCATTCACTGGGCCACATCAACACGGGCGGGCCTCACAGCCCTCCTGCTGCTCCTTCCCTCCCTCCTTGCCTCTTTCCTCCCTCCTGCTGCCCCTTCCCTCCCTCACCCCTCTGGGCTCGCTGTCCCCACCAAAGGCTCTCTGCAGCCTCTACTCAGGGGTCCTGCTGCCACTCCAAAGGTGCCCCCAGCCAGATCATCAAAGGACCCTGAGGCCAAAGTGCTAAAGCAGAGCTGGAATTTCACTGAGCTTGGAAAAGCCCTTGGACACCATCGAGTCCAGGTGTTCCCCAGCACTGCCAAGGCCACCACTGACCATGTCCCCAGGTGCCACCACACCTGTGAAATCCATCCAGGGATGCGGCTGCACCTGTGCCACGGCTGGCCAGTATCTTCCATTAAGGAATTCTTCCCAATACCCACCCTGAACCTCCTCGGTGCAATTTGAAGCCACTTTCACCTACCATGGAAGGCAGTTTGGGGTGCTTTTGTAACAGATGACAAAGATGTGCCTTATGGCAGTTCTGGCTGGCACAAGTCACCCAGACTTGTTTCGGTACTCTTGTTTTGGGGGGGCTCCTGCCATTAGCCACCCAAAACTCAACAGGACATGGACGTGGCCCTGGACCAGCAGCTCTGGGCAGCTCTGCCTGGGGAGGGGTGGAGGGGACGATCTCCAGAGCTCCCCTGCAACATCACTTCATTCCAGACCTTCCCTTTCTCATGGGAGACTCTCTCAAACAAGGATTTTGTTTGTTTAATTTCCCTTGATTTCCTTCTTTGAGGTCCCATTATCTCCAATAATGCCCCAAGCCCCTGCAGCTCCAAGCTCTGCAGCAGCAGCAGCCCTGGGGACAACACTGAACAGCAGCTTAATTATTACAATTGTCATTTACATAACTGGCTTTTATAAACACCGGGAGGGCAGCCAAGGAAAAAAGCCCTATATTTGGGGAAAAAGAACTGTTTACATATTTCACCCGTGTAAACAAGGGCTCAGTTGAACTTCCGTGCTCAGGGTTCCTCCCCTGGAACTCTGGGTTTCAAGTAAAAAATGCCAAGGACAACTTCAGGAATTTTAACGAAGACACTAAGCTGTGAGGGATGCATCCAGAGATTTCCATTCCCTCTGGAGGGGTAAGGAATAGCAAGGGGAGCCCTGGAAACCCTGACATCTTGCAAGGCTGCAGAGCAGCAGCACACAGAGCAAGGCTCAAAGGGCACAGCAATAATCCTGGGTTTGCAGCTCTGGTTCCCAAACATCAGAGCCTGATGGAGCTACGAGAGCATCCAGCCATTCCCACTGTCAGGAAAGTCCTCAGAGGGGTTTTATACTTCAAGCTGACATTGACAGCTTGTTTACTACAGAGACAAGTGTCAAACCACACTCGGCCACAGGCACACGTGAAATTCACATATAAATACTTTCTATTAAAAAAAAAAAAAGAAAAAAAAGGATTTACCAAACAGAATCGAGATTTTAGCACATGCTCGTTCTCCTGCTCCTTCTGACCTACTTTCCCTGGCAGACTCCTTCCCCGGGAGGTGCAGAGCCAGGGCACAGAGTCCTGCTCGGGGCAGGCAGCGACCCAGAGGGCAGGGCTGGATCAGGAATTCTTGGCAATGAGGAATTGTTCCCTGGCAGGGTGGGCAGGCCCTGGCACAGGGTGCCCAGAGCAGCTGGGGCTGCCCCTGCATCCCTGGCAGTGCCCAGGGCCAGGCTGGACACTGGGGACAGTGGGAGGTGNAGGGACCCAGGATCAACATTCCCACTCTGCAAAGAGACAGGATTATCCCATGGCCCACATCAGCTCTCCAGTGATTTTCACAGAATCCCAAAACGGTTTGGGTTGGGAAGAACCTCAATAATCATCGAGTCTCACCCCTTGCCATGGGCGGGGACACCTTCCACTGCCCCAGGCTGCTCCAAGCCCCATCCAAGGTGGCCTTGGACACTTGCAGGGATCCAGGGGCAGCCAGATCTGCTGTTCAGTGTACTGACAGGCTCCCAGTGAGGGGTGGGAAGGAATCCAAGGCCCCCTGAGCCCCGTGCCAGCCGTGAGTCACCGCTCCAGGCAGCCCCAGCCCACGGCACCAAGCGCCGGCTGCTGCACGCTGGGATCCAAAGCCATAATCATGGAGTGAAAGAGAAATCTGAAAGTCAGGAAACCACATAATGGATGAGTGAGTCATCCGTGCCTGAAAAACTGAAGATGCCAAAGAAAGCTTAGAAGTCAAAGAAAAACCCACACCACCATTGCTGCTGTTCCATCCTGCCACCCCTGAGCCAGGAGATCCATCCCTGCAGCACTGCCTGCCCAAGGCCAGCA